GCAGAAGAGTATGGAGGGATGGACACTGGGAAGAGGTAACTATGGGGAGAAGTGGGAGGGGAGCTGTTGCATTGCGGTAAACTGTGGTCAATAACATGAGACAAAGTATATGTGAACTGCTGTATGGAAAGTGAATTTGCTCTGTAAATCTTCACCCAAATTAAAAAAAAAAAAAAAAAAAAGTTGTGTGTATCATACGAACTGTCTTCATATACGAGGACATAAGTGAAAATGTTTTCTCACCCCCCAGCCCTGGAATAAGGATTTTAAAGCGAAGGCAGTGCCTTACGCACTGGCAAAGCAGACACGCAGCGTACGTCCAAACGCCCACTGCACACACCTGTGTCCTGTGAGAGGGAAAGTGGCTCTCCATTTACTTGTAACCCCCCTAGCGGTTTTAAGAGCCCAAACCCACCCTCTTGCAGCCGGGACCACTGGTGGGATGCAGCCGGGTGAGGCAGAGGCCATGGCTCCGGCCCCGGTTCTGGGCTCTGCCCGCGCACAGACGGGGCTGCCATGCTCTGCTCCCTCCCTGCTCGCCCCTCCCTCCGCAGCTACCTGCCACCATCAGCAGCCACAGACCAGAAGCGGGCTCCCTAAAGGCTGCTACTGTGATCTGGGTAGAATTCTACAGAGCAGATTAGCTCTCCTTTGCACAGTTCATAATGTCTCATTTAGGTCCCCTGATGGCAATGCTCACAGTCTAACAGCTCTGTTCCCACTTCCTCCCTCAAACCAAAAACCAAACTCACTGCCGTGGAGTCAACCCGACTCATAGAGACCCCTCCTTGGGTTTCAGAGGGAGTATCTCTACAGAAGTAGATTGCCCGTCTCCCTTCCAAGGAGAGGCTGGTGGGTTTGAACCGCCAGCTTTCTGGTTAACAGTCAAATGCCTTAATGCCTTAGGCACTGCACCACCAGAGCTGTTACTTCCTTCCTATGGTTCCCTTTTCTCTGTGCCCTTCCTTCCTATCCTGCAAGGTTCTAACACAGTGTTCACACAATGTCCAAATCACGTAACATCCTATTTCATAGAACATATCACGGACATTAAGTGACACTTATCTATATATTTATTGTTTTAAGAAGTTCGGCACAGGTGTATTATAAACCCCTCTCAGGTAAAAATGAAGAAAAATATGTAAGCAGATGTTTCAATGAGCATGGTCCCTGGAAGAAACCCTGAGTAAGTGCTGCCTGCCTGCCTCAGGGGGAAGCTGGGTGCTTGGGGGCAGAGGTCAGCGGGAGTCACCCGCATACACCCTTCGGAAACGTGAACCACGTAGATGCTGACTGTATAAATAAAATATGAATTTTAAAAACGTAAAAGGCCTGTATACTTTGTTTTCTGGTTTTCTTAATAGTTCCTTGTGATGTTGAAGAAAATCTACACAGCAAATTATGTTCAACAGTTTCTCTATGTATTAATCCAGGGAGAAGCCCTGGTGGCACACTGTTTAAAGCGTTTGGCTGCTAGACAATATTTCTACGTATGTACTTGCATGTGCTGTAAGAAATGTCCAAATATACAATACAGCTAACAAGAGGCAAAGTTATGATAACTTCTTGGCCACAGCCAACTACCCTGAGGAAGAGAGGAGTTGGACCTGTGGGCCCAGGACCATGGTTGCAGGAGACATCAAGCTCAACTGGCATAAAGTACTACACAAAAACATCGTTCTACAATCTTACTTTGGTGACTAATGATTGAGGTCTTAAAACCTTGCAAGTGGCCACCTAGATGTAACAACTGGCCTCTCCTCATCTGGAGCAAAGAAGAAGGAAAAAAAACAAAGACATATGGAAACAATTAGTCCAAAGGACTAGTGGACCACGTGATCCTCAGCCTATATGGTCATAAAAAGACCAGAAGAACTAGATGGTGCCCGGCTATTGCTGCCAACCACTGGGAAAGGGATCAGTGCAGGAGATATTGGATAGAGTGAGAGAACAATGTGAAACAAAACTCAAATTCATAAAAAAAAAACCAGGTTTACTGGTCTGATAAAGCCTGGTGAGACCCCTGGGACTATGGCCCTTAGTTACCCTTCAGGTCTGGAACTGAACTTACTCCCATGGCGTCAAGCCAAACAATAGCCAGGCATATGGGGTGAACATTTACATCAGGTAGATACACTCCTTACAACAATCAATGGTGGGAGAACAGAAGGGCAGTGTTTGCGCAGGGAGACAGCTCAGGGGACACCAATGCACAGAAAAGAAGGACCCACGGAAGAGGTAACCACAGGGAGGAAGCGGGAAGAGACCCGTTACTCTCTGAGGAATTTCAGTCAATGTCATGAAACTAAATGTGTATGAACTGCTGTGTAGAAAATTAATTTTCTCTATAAACTTTCACCCAAATCACAATAAAAATGTTCAAAGATAAAGTGCTCGGCTGCTAACCAAAAGGCTGCAGGTTGGAATCCACCAGCATCCCACCGGAGAAGAGATGTAAACAGTTACAGCCTTGGAAACCCTGTGGGGCAGCTCTCCTCTGTCCTACAGGGCCACTGAGTTGGAATCAACTTGATGACAGTGTGGGGTACACATGTTGTTAAGTGACACTGGTTACTTTTTCCACAATGTATCAGAGTTCTTGTTACCCTCATTCTGGTTGTTCTGTTTCTATGAATCTAGCTTCCCTGGGCCCCTTCCCTTCTCATCTTCAGTCTCGGATAAACAGTGACTGTTGGGTCTCATTTGGGTGATAGTTTAGAGGAATGTATTCTTTATTTTATGAGCCACTCTGTCTGTTGGCTGACAGGTGACCTCTGGGAGTGGTTTGAGTCCCAAGTTTAAGGGTAATCCAGGGCAATCGACAGATCAACAGTCTCAGGGGTTCATCTGGTCTCTACCGGTCCGGGGACTCTGCTTTGGTTTTGAGGATCCCTTGAATTATGGAGCCTACATTTGTACACATATAAAAATACAGAAGAATCGACAACTCTTTAAACTGGTTACCTCAGAAGAACAGGGGTGAGGCGGGGTAGCTGCTTCTATTTTCTGACACACATTCCTGAAGTTTTAGTGATGAATATAATTTTTATCATCAGAAAGAAGATAATAAAATACTTATTATCTGCCTATAGTGCTGTGTAGAAGGATTCTGTCATACTTGGGCCCAACTTACTCACTCTGTGGTCCTGTGGCCCTCAGCCCCTCAGACCCAGCTCGCTTAGTGTCCTCCGTGGGGTAAGAAGAGCAGTCAGGTAGGATTTACTTAAGGCTCAAGAATGAGCCACAGCGTCGCTGAAGGTGGCCTGAGTTCTGTCTCAGGTGCTACCACTTCTGGAAATAGATGCTGGCAACGGTGGTACATTTGGGTGAACGTAATCAGTCACTGAACTGGATGCTTGAAAATGACTAGAAAGGTAAGCTTTTGCTGTAGTATTCTACCACGATCATTAAAAACTGATCAGGCCTTGGAAGGTGTGGATTTTCCAAAGACACAGATGGCATAACCAGCCATCCCCTGGGGAGTTGACGGGAAAGGTGAGGTTCCTACTGAGAAGCTCATACTCGGGTAGGGCCGGCCCTCCTGCCCTACGGGAAAGTGGGGTAGTGACATCTGGCCAGAGACAGGCTAGAAACAGGCCACTGTGTCAGATACCACAAATGGCAAGAATGGTCTTGGTTAGACGGGGGTAGTTAGTACGCTTAACACCAACAACCAAAAGCTCGTCAGTGGGCTTAGTGCTGAGCGGACAGAAGTGGACCGAGGTTCAGCGCGTAGGGCAGGAAGCCATTCTGCCCTTGAGGAGTTTAAAGCCTGGAACAGGGTCAAGGACACAGATAACCATACAGCATGTGACCAAGGGCAGTGAGGTTTCAGAAGCCAGTAACTATATTTGGGGAAACAAGCAGTTTAACCTGCAAATAAGTTTATAATTAAAAGAAGAAAAACTGAATTGTGGTTCATATAAAGACAAAGAATTGTTGATAAGCGTTTTAGAACAACAGGTGTGGGAAGAAACACCAACTGTTCCCTCTGGGCCGGCATCGACTCCACGGCCAACAGGTTTGGTCTGGGCTAACCCTTACCTGGGTATGGTCTGGATGATGAAAATATCCTGGCCCCGCACCGACTCCTTAATTTCCACTCTTGTCTCTGAAAAAGAAAAATGTGCCCAGGTTTTCAGAAAAGCATTTTATGGTATGCTAGTTATAATTAGGTAGCAACTTGCAGGGAGTGAAAGTCGCTGGAAATCAACAGTGGGCGTACTGGCTCCACCAAGAGAAGTTCTTAATAAAACAAAAACTTGTTGCCATTGAGTCAATTCCGACTCCGAGCGACCCTACAGGATAGAGTCGAAATGCCCCACAGGGTTTCCAAGGCTGCCAACCTTTATGGAAGCAGACTGCCACACCGTTCTCCCGAGGAGCGGCTGGAGGCTTCGAACCACCAACTTCTCTGTTAGCGGCCAAGTGCTTAACAAGGGTGCCACCACAAATTTCAGAATTACATTACACACAGAAGAAACAGTGAAGCTAGGAGGAAAATCAGCCAGAAACAGAAAGTAAAAGTGACCAACACGTCTATGTAAAATCTCAAGGTCCAGATAAACCCTGTCACCAAAATAAAGACACATAAAAGACGCAGAGGGAAAGTCGACAGCAGATAGAAGGTAAAAGGCTGGCATCTTCTTCCCCCAACAAGTGCCAAGTGCCTTCTCTGTACCAGGCCCTGTGCTAGACTCCCAAGTGGAGGTTGCTGGCCAAAGGGATGCAGACTGGCTCACCAAAGACTCTGGCAAACTGTCCAGGTCCCACATGGCAGAGACAGAGTACTGAGGAGGAAGAAGGAAGAACAGGCCTGTGACAGGGCCTCGCTGCCAGCCTGACTGTGCAGGGAGGAAGGGAACAGGTGAAGACGTGGGGCCCAGCGTGCCGAGCCGAGGGGCAGCCGTGTGCCCGAAACCACTGGCGAGCCGAGGAAATGAGGGCAAGGAGGGACGGGGGGTCGGGGAGCCAAGAGGGGCCAGGGACACAAGAGCCTGGACTTCATCCCACGGGGGCCGGGAAGCCAGTGGAGGAGGAGGATGGAAGGGCGTGACCCACATGCTGTGACTGCTGGAGAAGAAAGCTGAGGCAGGGTGGAGTGGGGGCCAAGGCCACTGCCTGTCTCCAGGGAGTCCGGGTGAGCAGTAACGGAGACGGGGCCAAGGTCGCAGCAGTGAGGTGATGAGACACCCTCGGATTTATGCTGTACTCCAAGGTCAGAGGGCACAAGAGGAGGTGAGGGAAGGTGAGGCCCGTGAGGAGGCCAACCCGCCCATGAGGAGGCTGGATCTCGAAGGCCCACGTCACCGCTGAGGAGCTGGGCCTCTGTGCTACAGGCTTCAAGCTGCGGTGGGGCCGAAGTACTAAATTCTAGAAAGATCCAGTGAAGGTGAGGAGGGTGGGCCAGAAGGCTGAAACGCAGCTAGGAGGCCTGCTGGGAAGGTGCGGAGGGTGGGCCGGAAGGCTGAAACGCAGCTAGGAGGCCTGCTGGGAAGGTACGCAATAGCCAAAGTGAGACACAGCAAGGGCGGGAGCCACGACGGGGTCTTCACTGACCCCTTTTCCGGTTTGAGGGCTTCATTTTCTGAGAGCCCTCAAACGCTGTCACGACAGATTTTTAAAATCCATGACGGCTAAACACGGCATCTCACCCACCCACATTCATGTTCAGGTTTTAAACGTCTATATCTCCTGACTTGCGCTGGCAGCCAACTGTCTCTAAGGTCACCCAGCGAATCTCTGGTAAATTACCTTCCTCAGTCCCTTACTGTTTAGATCCTCAAACCACTCACACCAAAGACACTTAGGAGGAGAAAAATAAGCAGAGAATCATGGGCCCAGGTTTTTACCTTTGCAAAATTAATTCCAAGTTATTTTATACCAATTTCCCTTCATAATAAAATGTGGGCTTTGTAATCTGAGGTACTTGGACCGCTAGGAGACTTACCATGCATCACTTCCAGGGCGCTGGCCATTAAGCCAAGTCCTCAAACGTTAGTTCCTAATGCTAGAGTCCTCCACATAAACCAGGGGGTCCAACGACGGGCCAACAACCAAGTGTGAGAGACCACCACAGAAGTGAGGGAAAACGTTAGCAACAGAGAGCTGAGAGAGGGTTTAGAAGTCCTGACTCCCAGAACCAGCTGCTCCTGACGCCATCTGATAACCCAGAGTGGAGGGAGAACGATTCTCTACACCTCTGCTTCTTCAGCCTGCAACGGGACAGTCGGATCATCTTGGGAAAAGAGGAAAGAGACTCTGAGAAGGAGAACAAAGACGTCAAGATTGAAAGGGAAGCGTGAGATGATGTTTCAAAGCCCTCACATTAAAGGGAATAAACGTTTGTTACATGAGTAATGCTTGCTTTTTAAAAATATGCCAGCTCAACAGATTCTCAGGTAAGACTACACTGCACAGGCCAACAAAAGAAAAACTAAAGTGAACTTTCATCGAGATTAAAAACATTGGTGGAAAGCTCATTATCGACGAAATGCAAACACGACCTACAGGATGGGAGAAAAAAGTTGGAAATCACATGGCATGGATTGCGCTGTGCCCTCCAAAAATACGCGTCGCAAATTGTGACCCTACACCTAGTGGCTCTGTGGGAGAAGTCCTGAACAGCCTCCATAAAGATGGCAGCCTAGAAACGCTGAGCAGGGGCTCACAGTGGACCTCGGTCCCATGGGGTCGCCATGAGTGGACACTGACTGGATGGCAACTATCGAGAACAACGAAATAAACCACTGCCATCGGCTTGATTCCGACTCATAGCAGCCTCCCCATCAGGTTTCCAAGGCTGCGGATCTTTACAGAAGTAGACCGCCTCTTCCTCGTCCTGCAGAACTTGAACCACTGACCCTCTGGTTAGCAGCAATGCCTTAACCACTACACCACCAGAGCTCCTTATCAACAACACACCAGTGGAGATGATCCCATCTGTCAGTAGTTTTTTGTTATGTTAACTAGGCCATAAGAGTGTCAAGAGTGTCTTCATCCAAACACCTCTGAGATATAAAAGCACAGCTCAGGCGCAGAAGAACTTGACACTTGTTGTTGTTGTTGTTGTTATGTGACACTAGGGAGGCCAACACCACCTTTGGACCAGTCTACAAGCCCAGGAGCCCCAGAGAAGGCACGTCGGGGAAGTGGAGACAAGGATGTGCCCCAAAAGCTGGTGCCTTGAATTCAGACTTCCAACCTCCCAAAACTTTGAGAAAACAACTTTCTGTTCATTAAAGGAACCCACTTGTGGTATTTCCGTTACAGCAGCTCCAAGACATCACATACCTGCTAAGGGCTGAATATCCAGAATGTAAAAGAACTCCTACCAGAAAAAAGAAAAAAGGGGCCAAGGACTTAGCTACTGTCTGAGAATCAGTAAACGAGGAACGTGGAGCACCTGGAGGCCTCCAGCTGCTCTGGGAAACTGCTGGTGGTTCCTCAGAAAGTTAAACAGACTCGGAAAGAAGGTTGGACAATCTACTTCCACAGAGATACCGCCTCGGAAACCCAAGGTGAGGTTGCTATGAGTTGCATTGACTCGATGGCAGTGAGGTGTTTTTTTTTTTTTTTTAACCACGGGACCCAGCAACTGCACTCCTCAGTGTGTACCCAAAAGAAATGAAAACAAGTGTTCGAACAGACACAACGTTCACAGCAGCACTACCTGCAATGGCCAAAAGGTGGAAACAACCCCAGTGTCCATCAGCAGATGATGGACCAACTAGATGGGGTCCACCCACATGATAGCACATACTCTGTCTGATACACCCTAGGCCATAGACGAACCCTGCAAATTCACAGACGGGGACAGAGTAGACGTGATCAGGGGCTGGGGGAGGGTCCTGCTGCGTGGGCACCATTTCTGTTGGGAGCGATGAAAAAGCCGTGGAAACACCCGGTGGTGGTCGTGCACTGCGGTGAACGTCACCCACACCAATGAAGCGCATGTACATTCAGGACTGGTGACAGTGGCAACTTTGGTCCTATACGTTCTACAATTGACAAAACCCCCCTGATTCAACAGTTTAAAGACTAAAGGGTGTTTAAGAAAGAATTCTGGCGCACCTCCATTGGTCTCCTGGTATACAACCGATTTTCCCAGTTCAGCACCAAGACGCCTACAGGCAGGAGGGGGGAAAAAAAAAAAAAAGCAATCAGTAATGCTCCCTTCCTGTGAAAATACATCAGGTACCCACCACACCCACACCCACACACACGGCCCACAGAAAGACAAACGACCCCAGACGGGCATTCATTCCCAACAGACAGTTTAGGAAGCTTAACTCCATTCAGAACAGAGTCCCCGTCACTGTGCCACTAAACTGCGTGCTCACCGTTTCGTGGGCATCTGCTCTGTTACTGCAAAGGGCCCACAGCTGAAGCTGGGGTGAGGGCACTGTTTTCTGACCACAGTGACTGTCTTGAGAATCATCCCAGCACTTGATCACTGGCAATGATTGCAAACACACAAACCAGGAGTAAACACATACATAGACTTCAGTGGCATTGACCATATGCAGATCTCGTTTGGACCCTGAGTGGAACAAACCAACTGTACAAAGCCATGTGTGAGCTAATCAGAAAGCGGACAAAGAGAACAGGAAGGGCCAGTGGAACTGATTTTTAGCGGAGGGGTAATTAACAAATGCAGCTGAAAATTTTAAAATGTAGTTAAAAAACGCTTTGTTAACATTTTTAGAAGTGAAAGGACAGGTCAGGGAAGAATCTGTTGTAAAATATTCGAGCCCCTGCCCCTGGGGGGGAGGAGTGAAGGGTGGATTAGCAAAAAGTTGTTAAATGAAAAAAGTGAGTGCAGGACCCCTTCCTGTTCACTGTAACACACATGTGCACATATAACCCGTAAATATACATCATCCTGGGAGAGTGTACACCAAAGACGTGTACTGATGGGAGTGCATCATCCAAAATAATGTGCAGATCCCCCTGAAGTTTAGATATGGAAGGAATCCTGGCATGTCTTAGCCTCTGCGGTCATCGAATCTCTGGGTCTGCAAACTGTTTAGCTGTAAAAACCTTTTTCAAATCAGATCTTACTGGGAAGCTCAAAATATGAAACAGACAAGGCAGGCATACAGGGTGAACATTTACATCAGGCAGCAACAGTCCTTAGAACAATCGTGGGAGACCAGAAGGACAGCATTTGCACTGGAAGACAGCTGGGGGGGGCAGGAATGCACAGGAAAGGACACAGGGAAGGAAATGGGAAGAGAGCTGTTACACTGTGAGGAATCGCAGTCAATGTCATGAGACAAAAATGTGTATGAACTGCTGTATGGAAAATGAATGAACTTGCTCTGTAAACTTTCACCCAAATCACTCTCACACTCACACACACACACACACAAGGGCAAGGGGAGGATTTTACAATAAGGTAAAATGTTTCTAGAACAAAGCAGGGAAGAATCTAACAAAAAGGCAGAAACTATTCTTTAACCGTTCCCACCCCCCACACACACCCTGCTCCTACCCCCCCACCCCACCAAGTCGCCCTGGGCAAGGTCTGTCTAGGGTAAATATGACCCCATATAAACAAACAGTATTTAAAGTTCTCTCAGTTGGCCTCACAAAGACAAGACAAATTCTCAGAGATCTGAAATAGAAACTAGGAAGCAGACTGCAGAACTTTTGAAAAAAGCTATTTTTCCTTCTTTTTTGGTCCCAAGTCTTCTAATCTTAGAACTTTCTTGAAAACAAGAACATAAGAAAAATATAACTAAAGTTTCCTCCTCCTTCTACGTAAGTTAGGAATTTAAAGGTGTACTCACGCAGTTATCGACTCTAGAAAATTCAGAGAAGCACTGATGTTAACTCTTTAAAATCTGAACAGGACTTTAAATGCTCCAAGACAAGCTGTTCCTGTCATCAGGACCCCCTAGGGCCCTTCCCTTACATTAGCCCTCCTGGACCCTCCAAGACTGAAAAGCCCTTTAGCAAACAGGTGTTATTCAGAGGCCCACTAGGAGCCGCAGCTCAGCTACACCCTTGACTTACACCATGTCCTTCAGTCACCATAGCCTTCCTGGACAGACTCACTCCCATGTTACAAGTGAAGTTGAGGAACAGCCTCTTGCCCGGTGTCACAGCCAGTAAGCGGCAAGGCCGGGAGGGCACGTCAGAGCTATTAGACCCCAAAGGCTGCTTGAGACCACCAGCTTCTTTTTTTTTTTTTAAATAAAACCACAGAGAGGCGAATGCTTTACTTCAAATGACCTATTGTCGTGGGCCACGGCGTGGACTCGGAGCCATGACGACCCCAAGTGCTGTCAGAGTAGAACTGTGTGCCTGCAGGGCTAGCAATGACTGCCCATTGGGAAGGACTGCCAGGCCTTTCTTCCGAGGCACCTCCTGCCATGGTTATGCATGTCCCAGGGCAGAGCGAATTACAAGATATGATTAGGCCTATCCCTTCACTCACCAGCTCCAAAAAATCGGCCTCCCTGGAGGGTGCCTTGTTCTAACTTCCCCTCTCCCTGCCTATGCTCCAGTGGCTGCAACAGGGCCTAGGGGTCTCGCACCTATTGCGCCAGCCAGGACAGGTCTTCCAGGTCTCAATGAACCAGAGACTTGGGAACCGGGATCAACGGCAGCGAGGGGAAAGGGAGCCAAACCCACAGAGCCTCTCTCCCCCAGGCACTCACTCAGGGGGTCTCAGAATGAGCTTCCTAGCCAACCTTCAGCGCTGCCCTGGGATGTAGGGTGGGTGGGGGGCGACGGAAAGGCGAGCAGTGCAAGGAATCAGGGTGGGAAGGAATGCATTAAGTCGGCCATAGGCTTTTCAGAGGCCAAACGTGGGGCGGGAGGGTGGCTTCCGCGACCCCTGGGGCGGGGGCGCAGGAGGGGGACCCGGCCACCCCACCCGCCCGCCCTCGCCCTGCTCACTCGGTGATGCGCTTCGCCAGCTCCGTGCAGGCGGCCGTGGAGTTGGCCGAGAAGACTCGGTAGCCGGTACGAGCGGCGTTCATGGCCGGCCGGGCGGCGGGGCAGGCTCGCCGGGCGCGGAAGGTCGAGGACGCGGAGAACGACGGCAGAAGCAGCAGCCTCTTGGGCATCGCCGGCCCGCGCGGGGCTGCACCGGGGGCGGTTCCCACCGAGCCGGCCACCAGGCTAGGGGTCGGGTGGGGGAAGGCGCCGAGAAAGCCGGCGCTGGAGGGATGGCCTGAGACCTCCCACGCTCCTGGCACCAAAGGCCACCAAGCCCGCGCGCGCTGCGACCCGCCCAGCAACCAGCTCGGAGCCAGAGGCGAGGCCGTCGCCGCCGCTGCCACCGCCCCCTCCGGAAATCCGAGGTGCGCCTCCAGCTAGAGAGGCCACAGAGCCGCCATCTTAGATAAGGGCAAGGAGGTGGGGAACCCTTTAAAAGCCCTGTCTTCCGAGAGACGGACCATGGATCCTGTCAGCCGCCTGCTTTTGCAGCTTCCACGGGAGTTCTTTTGTTTTTACGTTTTTGGACGGTGCAGCCTTGCTGAGCAGAGGCCCCAACGGTGTCCAACTTCTCTGCCAAGATCCGAAATGTCTGCCACCGGCAACGGCTAGACGATCTAGCTGTGCACCTCTATGATGACAGTCTGTGCGACCTCTGAGACGCATGCGTCCAGCTGAGATTCTTTGATTTGAAAAGTAGAGGGCGGGGTTATCTTCAGCTAATTGTCCGTGGTACTAAATTACCGGAAAATAGCTCTAAACCAGACTCACTGCTGTCAAGTGGGATCCGACTCCTAGCGACCCCTCCTTGGGTTTCGGAGGCAGTATCGCTACAGAAGTAGATTGCCCAATCTTCCTT